AAACATAGCCAACAATCCAACATACCACAAGTTCAATTTACTTTTGCAGACTTTAAAAAACTGGAATCCTTAGATTTGACTATATAGAATGTTTCAATAACACCTTTTTTCTCTGTGACTTCTGAATTGTAATGGTTGGCCATGCTTGAAAATGTGGCCAATAACACCTATTGCGGTGATATTTTTTGTTTTGATATTAAACTGTCAAACACCAAGCGGTCACCGGTGACCGCAACCTATTGTTCTAAAATTGTGTCTACAAAACCGGTACTCGACAAGTTAATTTATTTTATACTTTATTGTACACATACAGAAAAAATTGTCATACAGAAAAAATAGTTTACAATGTCACAGTAATTCGAGTACAATGGGCGGTCTTATCACATGTGACAATTTCTTCCAGACAACATTTATCACTACACATTACAAAATAAAGTCGCTATCCACCGTCTGTCTGTCCCTATGTATGCTAAGATCTTTAAAACTACGCAAACGATTTTCATGCAGTTTTTATTAAATAAAAAGACTGATTCTTAAGGAAGGTTAATATGTATGATACATGCATATTACACTTGTGAGAAGCCAGGGCGAGTCACTAGTTGTTGTATAATACTTTTAGGACTAATTTGTAAGTTCAATTATATGAGGTAATACCTATAACACTGTTTAATAGTTTTTGCCAGAGATTACAGAGAGAGAAAAACAGTAGGTCTCTTATTGAGTCTGCACAGATTGCAAAAATATTTTGGGAAGCTCGCTCTCTCTCTTCACTATTTCCTTCTCAAAAGATAAACTCGTTGAGTACCGTCATTATGGACACAAATAAAGAACAATAGGTTGTGGTCACCGGTGACCGCTTGGTGTTTGACAGTTTAAAGACAAATAAAATTATCAAAATGCATAGCAATTATTTTACAAAATAAAGATTTACAAGAACAAAATATTGATTGGACATTATTTATTTATATTATCTAATGTCTTATCTCATCACTAATATGTTTTTAATTAATCATCAACACATTAATGCAGTTTTAGAATTTTTGAGACTGGTTTCTAAAGGTAAACTTATTACTTAATACATTTTAAAAAAATGTACCAAACTTGAGGTAACTAGCACACCCAAACAAGTATTCTAAAACAAAAAAAATATTTCCTTGATAGAATCCAGGAAGTAAGAATAGTCTAAAGTAAATTGTTCAAGTAACCAAACTGGATGTGATTTTAGAATGGTATTGAAGTGAAGCCAAAGTCAAGGCTCTATTACGTCGTTAAAACAATGTTAGTACTTACCCATCCGGGGAAAATTCAAGGTTGAAAATACCCCCAGTCGGAGGAGTCTTCGTTCTATCAGCTTCCCATGATGCCACAGGTTTAATGCCGCAGTACAGGCTCTTGGCAATCGCATCACCTGATCCGACAGAAGTTTGATAACCCATCTCACGGTCCCTTAGACGATAGGGATTAAATACAGAATTCTTCGCCATGTATAGCTGATGCTCTTTTATGTTGCCCATTATGTGTTGTTTTTAATTAACGCAAGCTTTATACACAATACGAAGGATTATGTTTTTGACATTACACTAATAGAAATGTAGTTGGAAACAATTTATAACATCTTTTCCACATTATTATTTTCTTATAAAACGTAACAATAGTACGAACAAAAACCCACAACTCTCACAATCAACAAATTTCTGCTACCCGAAAATACTCTGTGATTTCTCTATTTGACAGTTCAACTTTCTTTATTGCCATTTATAAATAGTAGATACCAAGATCGAATGTAGTTGTCGTTGAGTCTGATATTACTTACTCAATGATTTAAAATGCTTAAGTCCATATCAGACCAAGAGAATATTTATTTTAAATTATCAATTTATAGTATTATATATATAGTTATAATTATCGATACAAAATACAAATTACTATTTAACTAAACCTAAAGCGGATTTAGTGTTACGTGTAACAGGGCAATATTTGGTCAGCTGCTGTTGGTGGTAGTTTTGCGTTGAAACTGACAATCATCTGACATTTTTGACAATTTCTGTGGCCATACACAAAAGGATTTTGTTATCAAATTTTCCTGTGATTACATCAATAACATACGTGTACCTCTGCCTTTCAGTTGCGTCATTACAATTATCATCTGTCAGTTGTTCCTACCTGTTGTATATTTTGTAGAAAATGGCAGAAATAAGTGAAAAATACAATACAAAATGTCCTGGTGTGAAACGTCTTATGAGAGAGGCCATGGAGCTAGCGGAGGCCACAGAGGAATATTGTGCTCGTCCTTTAGAAGATAACTTGTTTGAATGGCATTTCACCGTACAAGGTCCTAAAGGTACAGATTTCGAAGGTGGTATCTACCATGGTAGAATATTATTGCCTAAAGAATATCCTATGCACCCGCCTCATATAATACTTTTAACGCCAAACGGAAGATTCGAAGTGAACAAAAAGATTTGTTTATCGATTTCTGGTCATCACCCCGAGACTTGGCAACCATCCTGGTCAATAAGAACTGCTTTATTGGCTTTGATTGCTTTTATGCCAACTCCAGCTGAAGGTACTATTGGCTCGCTCGACTATTCGCCTGCAGAGCGTAAAATACTTGCGAAGAAGTCTGTAACTTGGGTTTGTCCACAATGTGGTGAAATATCCGCACTATTGTCATCAACAGCAGCAAAGCCTATTACTGAGGAAGAAAAGTCAGTGTTAAATCAAATTGCTTTCAAAGCAGAAGAGGAACAGACTGCTAAGCCCCCAGAAGAACCTGTTATTGAGCCAGAACCTCAAGTGTTGGAGTCATCTGAACCTACTAATAGCTTTTTGGATCAGCTCACTGAAATACTGGTTGCTCTGTTGGTGGGAGCCATTGGTATTTTCATATACAGACGCTGGAATGCACACTACCCTGCTTCCGAGACAGAGCTGTAACTTTTGACATATTTTTGATATTAGGGCCTAAGAATAATTTTGAAGTATTTGCAAGTGACAACAAATAATTGATGCAGTGCATCCTCTTCTTTTATTATTTATTTTTATAAAGTAAGAGATCATATTTCAAATTATGGTGTTCACATATTCTATAACAACTGGTTATAGTAAACATTACTTTTCATTTCTTATGATTTGTCAATTGTGCCTTAAGAATAAGGATATAATACTTATAAGGCGTCCTGTTACCTCTGAGAGGAAATCAAATTGCATCACCTTATACTTTCATGATTTATTTGTCATTTGTTATTTATCTTTTTTCATAATGAATGTATTGAAACTCAAGAAGCATGTTATTACAAAATGGAAGATATGTCAAGTTACATAGTAACATTGAATGTTTATTTATTGTGCATTAAATAAAACTGGGTATTCATTAATGAATATCAGCTTGATTATTTCTTGCCGAGATTGTGGTACTATTGTGTACTAAGTGAATGCTTCAAGACTCAGTAGCGGAAGCCCAAATTTTTACGATATAGTCATGTGATAAATACCTGTTTATTGTGTAAATGCCAAATGAAATGGATGAAATTCTTGTTCCTACACTTGAAAAAATGCAAGGACTATTGAAATTTATTTTTATTTGTATAACTGCATTTTTTTTCTGGTCATGTATTTTAAACATTGTTTGAAAACAACACCAGGAGATTGTATTTATAAAAATATTTGTTTGATATAAATATTAAATGTGACACTAAAATCCTGTTATTTGTAAATTAGAAATATATAAAATGATGATCTTTTAATATACATAAGATTCCTTCTTGGAAATCACCATTAAATTATTGTTTTGTAAATTATAATTATTGCACCATCTAGTAAATAGTTGATTGGACATTAGTATTGAGTGCAGGCTTTGGCCGGTACTGTTAACATTCTTGAGAGCTTAGATGTCTTATTACAATAATCGTTTTGGAATCAACATTTTATTTATAAGTTTTCATTAAGTGAAATTATTGTAGTGATAAGAATATATGTATGTAAATGTATATTATTTTAATTAATGTGTGTAAATTAGTTGTAACTTTGCTTTCAGAACACTGTGTTGCATTGTTTGACTAACATAAACTTTGTAAATTCACTACACAATTTGTGTAATCATTTCTTTACCTTATTCCCAAAATAATAGATTCAAAAGTTCCATACTATAGGAAGTAATGAAGGTTATTTTTGTTATAGTATAAAATGATATGATAATATAAACAATTTCGTAGCCGTTTGGCTAATTCTTTATATAATTTTGCATATTAATATTTCCTATAGTTTCACAAGTATAAGTATTAACCAAGTACCTGAGTACATTAATTTATTTTTATTAAGCAATTTGTAATTGGTAATTAACTTATTTAATTTTAATAAGTGGAACAACAATCCCGTATGAAGAGATTGATGAATGAATGTTTTTCAACTTCACGTAAAGCAAGAGATATGCCAGAACTGTGCCAATTGACGTTTTATTGTCTCTGCATACCCTTATAGATGAAAGGCGTGATGTATTACGTATGTAGTACTTACTATATTTACTGATCCATACCATTTATTTATTTCAGCATTAACTCCCAATATTTGAAAAACCTAATTACTGTAATTACACAGGGTGAGAGGAGGGGATTTAAAGGTTCTTTCAAGAATATTTCTTATAAATGAAAAAGAAATATTAATGTTACTTTAAATTTTTATTAAGACATTATATCGAAATACATCTAAATAGCTTACAAAGGTGAGTTGGGTGCTGTTAAATCCTTCACCATGGTGCGTCCAACCAGAAGACTGGGTTACAAAAGATGGTAGGCAATAGAGTAATGTTTATATATTTATATTAAATCAGCCACATTCATTGGCATCTCATCAATTTGAGTGGAGTAGTACTGTTCAATATCTCTAAGAATCCTGATATCATCAGATTTGACAAAGTTGATGGCCACACCTTTGCGTCCAAATCGTCCTGATCTGCCGATCCTGTGGATGTACAGCTCACGGTTGTTTGGCAAATCGTAGTTGATGACTAGGGACACTTGTTGCACATCGATACCTCGCGCCCAAACATCAGTTGTGATGAGTACACGGCTGGAACATGAAAATATTGCAAGTTAGTAATCTTATACTATTATATAAAGCGGAAGTTTGTTTTTTTTTTTGGTTGTTTTTTTGAACGCGCTAATCTCCGTAACTACAAGTCTGATTTGAATAATTATTTTTGTGTTGGATAGCGCATTTATCGAGGATGGCTATAGGCTATAAAACATCACGCTACGACCAATAGGAGCTGAGCAGAGCGTATGAAACCGCGCGGAAGTAGCTAGTGTAATTTAGAACAATAAACTGAATTACTTTTTAGACAAGAATCTAAAATCAATTCCCTAGAAGCTCTAAGATCTCTACTACTAAGATGACCTTAGTTGATGAAGATCGGTTTATACCTATTTTGGCTACTCACTGGCTAACTCATAACATCAAATTCAAACTAATAAAATCTGTAAAACAAAGACATATTATTCAAATCATATATTATCTCTTGAGTGAAACTGTTGTGGTTGAAAATAAAACAGCTAAAACCGTGTGTGTATTCTCTATAGTAGATAACATAACATACTATCACCTTTTATCCCCGAAGGGGTAGGCAGAGGTGCACATTATGCCACTGTACAATGTAACACCCACTTTTCACTATTTATGTTATGAGTCCCATGTAATAGGGGTAAGCCTATTGCCATATACCGGGAACATTTCCAGACTCCATGCTACTACTAAGATTAAAAAAATAAAAACCCAGTAATACTTTGCTCGACCCGGGAATCAAACCCGAGACCCCTTAGCCGACAATTGCACTTGCAACCACTCGGCCAACGAGGCAGTCTGTAGTAGATCTTATTAATTATAATATACAAATTAGAACATATAACAAGAGGAACAGATTTGTTTGGGTAACCTCTTAATTTTGGAACTCGTAAACCACTTAAAAAACGTTTAGCCCAAATAAACAATTAAGAAATTAAATTCAACTGCATAGTAATAAGAAATTAAATCCAATTCATTTCACTATGTATCATTTGCATGCTTAAATGGTAAAATATGGCTGAACCTGTATTTTCATGTCATTTGGCAATTGTTACCCATATTTGCAAAATACAAGTATCTTTATCTTAGTACACCGAAGTTCCAACAAAATAAATGTTATCTGAAAATATGATTGGAAAATATACCAATACAGACCTTTGACCAGAACGGAACTCCTTCATAATGTTATCTCTTTCTTTTTGAGGCATGTCTCCGTGCATTGAGCTGACTGTGAAGTTAGCTTCCTGCATCTTTTGTGTGAGCCAGTCCACCTTTCTCTTTGTGTTGCAGAAGATCACTGCCTGAGTGATTGTTAAGGTATCATAAAGATCACAGAGGGTGTCAAACTTCCATTCCTCACGTTCTACTGCTACGAAGAATTGCTTGATTCCTTCTAGTGTCAACTCATCACTGTGAAAGAAATATTTGAATTAGTATGCGATACTAAATTGTTAAAACATTTTATAATGTTTTTGTAACAAATTACGAAAATTCCATGTCTCAATACATACCGTTTGACCAGGATTCTGATAGGATCTGTCATGAACTTCGAGGTCATTTCCAAAATTTCATGGGGCAATGTGGCAGAAATAAGAACTACTTGAGTTGCAGGTGGCAAATAGCGGTATACATCATAGATCTGCTCTTTGAACCCCTTGTTCAACATCTCGTCAGCTTCATCAAGGACCAGCATCTTGATCGAACGGGTTCTTAGTACGCGTCGGCGAATCATATCTACAAGTTAAACAAATATATAAATATATTTTTAATTGGTGGGTCCTATCCTATTGGTATGTCCTAAACAGTGCTTCATAATCCATTACGTACTTGTTTGCATTGAAGGAGGTTAGTAGGTAGATATTTTGGGATCATTTTTGATCAAAATTGTACAGAAAAAGTATATATAGTATTCTAATTGAACTTCACAAAATACCGCATATTAAGTCCACAAAATTTTGAGAACATTAAGTTCAGAAATACATAATATTATTGAATTTGAAAATAATACCACTAATTACTACTAGGTCAGTGAGTAGGATGTTGGCCCCAAAAAAAGCACACGGCCCACCTGATGGTAAATGGTTACCGTGACCTATGTACGCCTGCAACACTTGGATTTATGAGATTACTACCAAAATTAAATGAATGAATAGATGTTCCGACTATAGCTAACTTAGAAATAAATACCACATATAAAATGATAAAGTAAAATAAACTAGAAGTTTAAGTTCATTAGATTGTAAAATCCTTTGGTAGGTATGTCAGATTGAGGTGCAGAGGTTTTTTCATAATATTATGAAAGTTTTGTCACAAACTGTCAGAAAATCAAATGGCATAATAGATACATGGGAATTGTGGGCAAATCTAGATTGGGTATAAATACCACATGTGAAATAACTAGATGGGAATGGAATAGAATAATTAAATCGAACTTACCAAAAACTCGTCCTGGTGTTCCTGAGACAACATGCTGTCCATAGTCCAGCTTTCTGATATCTTCTCCAAGATTCGTGCCTCCGATACAAGCGTGACACTGAACATTCATGAAGTCACCCAAAGCAAGTATCACTTTTTGGATCTGAGTAGCCAACTCCCGAGTTGGCGACAACACCAGGACTTGGGTTTCACGTAAAGTCGTGTCCAGGGATTGCAGAATGGAAATTGAGAATGTGGCTGTTTTGCCTGTACCAGACTGAGCTTGGGCTATCACATCTCTTCCTTTCACGATTGGCAATATACTTCTTTGCTGAATTGCAGACGGCTTCTCGAAACCTAAAAATGTGAAAGTAGGTGATGCATTGCCGCGTACAAACAAATTCACAATCTAGTTTTAGTTTTACAACAATAAATTCATTTATACGTACCATAGGTGTAGATTCCTCGTAGCAACTCATCTCGTAAGCCCATTGAATCGAAAGTTGGTATAACTTCCACATCTTCACTGGTATCAAACTCGACATTCGACAAATCTTCCGTTATTATTTTGCGATTGTAAGAAACCTCCGATGAAGTCATCTTGCTTTATTTAGTTTTACAGGTCACAAACGATGATACTTTTACAACACACGTATTTTTTAAACACCAAAATATTATGGATTTCAATGAGGTTAGAAATCAGACCATATTCATTGCCTCAAGAAAACAAGAATCGAAACGAATGCAGTCCGATACGCCATCGACAAACGAATGTTCCCTGCTGCTCCCGCACCCCGGCAGCCGTCCAATGGGAGTTCAGGTGCGCGGCATTTTTTATCGCTGTCTCTTTTTAAAACATTCTAAACGAAAGAGAAAAAAGATGTCAAATTAAAACAAAACATCGAACACCAACATGGCCGCTGAGGCGTAGACCACAGATTATAGGCAAACAGAATTTCTTTTTGAATGATGAAATAAATTAATTAAATAAGCTATTATTATTTAGATTAAAGTAAGTTAACATTACGACATTAAGTTCAAAAATTCTAACTTAGAAATAATACCCACCACTAATAATCTCGATTCATCTGTTTTGTTTGCTTTGTTCAATAAATTCATGTTTTTTTACAAAAAATATATACACAAAATATATGTTTTGTTGTGTATGTATATACTTTAAATGAAATAACAAATTGATACCGAAATTTAGCTGTATGAATAGTTAAATCTAAATTAAAGAAAAAAAAGAATTAAGTTCAAGTGTAGCGATAACAAGACGCAATATAAGAACGCATTCGAAGTTTCGGACCATTCAGATTTCAAGTTTATTTGTGGTCAAAAGACCGATCATATTTGATTTTGAACGAATCAAAATGGATGCTGGGTGTGAATGAACTATGTACTGAAAAACGAACAGCTTTTTATCGAGTTGTGTCGTGGGCCCGATTTTAATTGGGAATCCGGCGTCGCGATTTTGTTTAGCCAATATTGAAATAGTGAGAAACGTAGTGTTAAAGGAAAAAGGATCAACCATAATAACGTTCAATACAGAAGTCACCGTGTCGGTAATGTGTTTATACGAAAGATTCGGTGGAGCCCACAATCCGCAGGTGGCACTAGGATGAGGACTTTGACGGATATATTGTATGTCGATCCGAATTCGCGAGTGTTTAATGCGTCGGTGTTCCCCTGTCTCGGTGCGACATGGCGAGACGGCTCGGACTAAAGTGTCGCTCGCGTGATGTATGAGCGGTCAGACATGAAATGCATATACAGGAAGGAACAAACACAACTCTGACAACATGTACCAAAATGACAGAGGAAGTAGACAGAAGACATGGCGTGAATGGTAACAGCAGCAGTAAGGGTGCGAGTGAGGATGCTCCTGTGAACAGTTCTGCTCTCACTGCTACTGGTGGGAGGCTTAAGTTTTTCAAAGGTGAGTGTTTTGTTACAGATGACAGCTAAACATATTGGAAGGCACCTATTTAGTTAGCTAGAAATACATTTTACACCCACTGGGCCAGTCAGTGTGTTGAGAAAAACTAGAAAGTCATTCATGCTCTGATAAGCCTACATAAGCACATTTGGCTGAGTCGTTACCAATTGTCTTAAGCACAGCCTCTGTGCTATTGTTGTGAGTTTCGTAAGGTTCTGTGGCTACCGTAGCGGAAACAAACAACAATTTTATAATGTTTTGAAGAACATGACTATTATTAGGAGCATTCAGTAGTTTGTATTTGTGAAAACATAGCATTTGTTGGAATGTTATTAATATGATTGGAAACTAAGTGTAAATTATAAGGTCAGAATGCCATCTAAACTCCATAAACACCTGCATTACACTTGTTTAAGTTCCTTAGAAATTGTTGTTCCACAGGAATCTGTGTAGGATGTAACTGGGCAAATGATGGTATTTACATAACATTTGTATTTTATGTAGATATAACTCTGTATATTTTCCTATTTTAAAAACCGGTAAAAACTGAATATTCCAATATACCACACCTCATGTTTTTTTCTTAAATGTTTCGTACCTACCTATATGGATTTAATTTACACTCTAATGTGAATTGCACTTGATTCTGTTAGTCAGGTGGAGCGAACAAGTGAAATATATCTCTCTATCACTTGACAAATAGTCCAATATAAATATATTACACAAACCATTAACAAGTGTCAATAATCTATATATTTGTTGCTTGACCATTGTATCATGTCTGGTTCCTTATGTTTACCAAATGCAGTACATCTAATGACTTAAATAGTTAACGAAATATAGGTCAACAATAGCTTCTTGTAATCACTACATTTACTGAGTTATTATCAGTGTGTATGTCTTAATAGTTTTTACTGAAGTAGATGTAAATTTTATCAATAAACAATGTGAAACAGGGATTAGTATAATTATCATAAGGCATAACTACAAGTGGCTGATGTTGTGAGTACTTGTGCCTCTGAAATATATTCTACTTGTTGATTATTTGATCTTATCACACATTGAGGATTTACTAAAAATGCTTGGTCATTATGAGAGTCAATTAAATTATTATACTAAATACTTGATTAAATATTTCATCACTCATTCAATGACATTTATTTATAATTGTGTAAAAAATCACGTAGTCTTGGTTACCCCTTTACTGTAAAGGAAAAACAGGTTATGTCAAAGTATGTATTGGTTTTACAGATGGAAAGTTTATTCTGGAGTTGGTGCGCGGGTGCGCACGAGAAGGCGAACGTGCTGGCTGGGTGTCGGTGCCACGTAAGACGTTCTGGCCGCCGGCCGCCGCGCCGCCCACGCCACCCGCAGCTGCGCACCCGCCCTCCGCCTCGCTGTCTGTCTCTGACGACAACAGCTCCGTGCAGTCTTCGCCGTGGCAGCGCGACCACTGCTGGAAGCAAACTGCACCGCGCAGAAACATTTCCAAAGAGTTAGCCATGTACTACTGCCGACCCAGCACTCTGCATACCGCCGCTATCGAGGTGGCCAGCCGGCTTAAGCGAAGGAGACCGTATGACACCACTCACCTGGATGGAATCGTAAATGGGACTAATTCCAGGAAAACATTAACTAATGGAGTTAATGATAAAAAGAATGGCGACGTTGGATCGCCAGACAACAGGGCTTGTCGGAGCGATGACGTTGTCGACGGCACTGGACCGAAAGTAAAGACCAACTCTGATGACGATCGATGGACTGATTACGATCGAGAAAAATACTATCACATGAAACTAAAGAAACCGTATCAGTATCGTAAGTTAAGGGTTTATAAAAAGACGAAACCTGCGCTAAGACGTAAGGAATTGACTAAAACGATAAATAAACTTCGCGATAGAATTTCTTCTCTACCTGTGCCTGTTAATGCGAAATTAGCAAACTGCAGGCAGGAGCATATGATGGTGTCTCCGAGAAAACGCATTCTCCGAGAGTTGGAACGAGTAAGTCTTGAAGACCAGAGTATGAAACGTCGAGCTAAAACAGTGCCCGCTTTAAGTACAGCTTCATATCCACCGTCACCTGGTCCTAGCCACACCACGCACAAACCAGTCGTTGAGACGCCGATACGATCACATAATGGTACGGCAGCACCACGGAAAGAGACGCCAAGTCATGTTTCCAAGAACGTTAGCAGTTATAGTATACACTCTCTTTTAAGTATGCCAGACGACAGCCCAACAAGGAGGTCTCCAGAGGCGAAGCGGTCTCCGCACTCGCATCCACCGTCCTTGAAAACTGAGTCACCATCGAGTGTAAACTCGCCAGATTTGAGTCCAAGCCCAGATAATTACCGTTACCGGTACTCCGCGCTGATGGGCTCACCAGGCCAGGGTGGGCTAGCACGTGACTCGCCTACGCCGCCACTGGAGCTAGCTCGCTACCGGGCGCCCTACCCGCCGCCCACCTCGCCGTACGGCGTGCGGCAGTGGGGCGGTGTAAGCGTGGGCGCGCAATACCGTGGATCGCCAGCACGCGACGAGTGGGGTCGGGACATGGCTTACATGTACCCGTACTCTTACATGGGCCCTCATTTATATCGCACACCGCCGCCGCCGCTCTGGATGCAGTATCCTATGTCACCCGGTGTGCCGCCGGGCCCTTGGGCTCCTCTGGCGATGCCGCTTACCAACGACCACATACCTAAAGATGAACCTACTTCAGGTGAGCAAAAATTTATTGATATTTTTATTCATCTAAAAATAAGATTTCTAGTAAATATTATTAACTAGCTGTGCCCGCGACTTCGTTCGCGTGGTTGTCGAAAACAAAACAACATCGTTTAGATAACAGTGGGCTTTATACATATGAACTCCACTCAAGAAGGTGGTATAGTATTTTTTTTGCCAATAAAGATCCTGACTATAGTATATTTTTATTTGGTAATATTGGTATCTAGTTGATTACGTTACTGCTTCCCTATATACTAATTTACATTGCAATTTATAATAGTAATTAACATAGAAACAGAATTTGTCTGTACAATCAATCTTTTATAAATGTTTTCAGATTTGCCGCTCAATTTGTCGAAACACTGATGTACACGGCGCTGGCGCAAGTCTGACACGTGAGACTGAACACACAAACAAACATTGTTTTAATAAATTCGGTCAATTTCGCTCCATCGTGCGTGACACGTACACCGAGTCCCGCCATGTTATATGCTACGTAAATCTTTCGCGTGTGTTGTTAAAAAAAGGCGATTTAGACTTTTAAATTGATATGTAGCTGATAATATGGCAAAACAGCAATATTCATGATCTATAGGTAAAGTTAATGATGCATGTGGAAGATAAGCACGGTAAACTTGTGGTGTCATGTCGTCAATATAATTGTCCAATGAACATTCCACTCACATTCAACGATTGGCGCATGCAGAAATCCAAAAATTAGATCCCACCTAACCCAGCGTATGTGATCGCGCTGTTGCGATTATGTATTTTATATATTGTAACTGTAGCAAATATCTTTTGCAAGCTTGCAAAAATATTTTTGTATAGATTGTCGTTTTCCGACTGAGCACTCTGTTCGGGGATCTATTTACAAACTAATGTATATTACACTGAAATATTATATTTTAGTATAGATGTATGTATGCAGAGTCATGTGTGTATTTTCATACGAAATATTTGTACTGCGAAATAAATATTTTAATATTGGCTATTATTTTAGGGTAAGGTTCTAAGATGATCTAAATAAACAAAATACAGTTATCAATTGTTAAATTCAGTGCCTTGAAAGAAATAAAGATATTAAGATCATATTTAATTATAGACGAAAAGTATTACCAGAAATCCTGGCTTCGTCCAAATTTACATTACATAACACATAGGTACTGCTTATATTCATAAAAGTGAAATTTTAATATACTATAATATTTCTAATATTACTCCTGTTCCTTTTTCAATTGCAAAATTCCATATGTTTATGTTCGATCTCATTATTTAATTTAGAAAATAAAATAAAATGAGGTAAAGACTACAGTTTTGGGAACAAATTTGGATGTGTGTTTATGTAACATGTATAAAACTAAGAGACATTGTATATAATTTGTGAATGGTGTATTATTGATGGAAGTTCGAGGCGTAGTTATAACAGAGCATTAATCATTTACGACTTATCAAGTAAGGAGTTTATTACCTTCAAATAATTATTGTAATTGTACAGTATTTTTATAACGAGTATTTTATGTTGTTTACGCTGATGAAGGGAGTCTGTCTTGCAGTAGGTGTGTCGGAGAGCGACGCTGGCCAGCGAGGCCTGCTCGCCTCTGCAGGCTTTGAGATTAAAACGTAGAGCTAGATTTAACTGCAATTTTAGTTGATGTATGGGGTTATGTATTATAAGAACAGTTAAATGACGGTAAGGGACTGACTTCTGATGTAATATTATCATTAAAGGAACTGTATAAAATAGTTATATAACCGAAGGCCTATTGTAACGATTGTGTTGTCCTCCAACAAAGTTGACTTAGTCTAAATGTAGCTATAATACATCCTGCTCAATTTTACTCTTGAGTAAATATAGGGAACAACTTTATTTCAATGTTGTGGTATGTACAGGAGGAAGCTGTATTTTTATATAAAATTTATATGTGTGACTTGTTTATATAAAAGGTTTTGAGTATGTGCTATTCACCGGTCCATTATTTTAAACTCAAATATTCTCTGTGGGTTGCATATACTCGAATATTTCGAAATAAAGCTATCTGTAGACACAGACTGTATGATGTTAATAGTTTTTTTTTTTGTTTTTGTAAAGAATAATGAAATACTAATCTCTTATGTTATGATACTACGAAACATAGGAATTAACTCTAAAATATAAAATAATAGCAATCTTATAAATAGTATGGATATATTTCCGATGGTTAAATTCAACCGTTTTCTGCTTTACCATCGGCATTACTAGGGTACTAAGAACGAAAGAAGAACAGTCAAGTACATTTGAGTGCCATTTGACAACACGACAACTCTATTGGGGACTTTCACTTTTGTGGCTGTGGCAGTGAAAACAGCTGCTGAAGTTACTGTCGCTATATGTATTGTAATTTCACAGCTACGTGCTACCTTCTGCTGCTATATCCACGATGGTGCGTCTTCTCATTAGGGTTGTCGGTAACAAGCTTTTATTTTAGTATAATTTTTAAATGGGTTTATAGAAAATGCAGATTTCTCCCAACCACAACATTGTTTTACCGATGTTTTAAAAAATGCTAAAATATTTTTCTACTCAATGATATAACAAAACTTCAAATAATATGTGATAGTGCTTTCAAAATAAATAAGACACAATTATCCAGGTGTCTTAAAATCCCCCTAAAATCATATTTATCATACCGAGAAATAGTTATTATCCATTATATTAAGATGTAGTTATTACTCGAATAAATATAACTTTTTAAAAATTCTGTCTTTTCTTTATTGCTACTTGGTACCTATATATTCTGCTGATCGTCAGCCTGACTTGCCTTTTGGGATGATGGGGATTGGGATGCCGTCTCCTCCTTTTGCGAAGCAGTCATGCTAGCTAAGGAGGAGGCGAGACGCGTGAGACAGCGAAGCGCTGCCTCCTCGCAACCCAGCCATCGCGAAGGACACACCGGGCGTCGGGGATCGCGGGACGATCTCCGGCCACCGTAAGCGCGGGCCTGCGGACGGCGAGCATGGGTGGCTCCCCGTCCGACCAGAAACAGACACGAGCGTACGGCGCGTCGCGTTCCGCGCGCGCCTCAAAGAGCCATCAGACCACTACAGATGGGGCCCAATAGGGCCGATGCCGATTCGGAGTCGCGGAGAACCTAACGGGTAACCGGGGCTCCGTCTCGACGTGCAGGAGAAGGAACGGGGTGGTTTTTTAGTCAGTAAGAGTTTGACACTCCCTTCCGCCTCACCCAGGCGGGAGCAGTCATTCGATGATTTTCCCCCCTTAAAAAAAAAATAAAAAAAAAGCCTGACTTGCCTACTACTAATTTGACTGTAAACAACGAAAATACACATGCCTCACACTAGAAATATGAAACCAGTCTGTGTTATAATACCATACTCAATATCATTAACATCATTGCTAAAATGTTACAGGCTAACTTGTAACTGTCACACTGAGTAAGGTTTGTTACATGAAGAAGGAATTAGCACTAATCACCGCGCTTTTAAGGCGGATTGGTGATTTCATACATATAAACCAGGTTTTCTCACAATATTTTAACTTATCCCTTACCATATTTCATTAGTGTCTAAATAAATGATCTTATCTCGATACAAGTCTTCTCATAGATTTTTCAGATTTATCTATAAAAACCTTCCAGGGGAATTTTTGTACGGCTAATAATAAAACAGGAGGTATGTAAGAATCGTAGTAATTGGCGTTCCTTAGTCTCTGCCTACCCCCATGGGAGACAGGCGTGAAGTTATGTATGTATGTAATACTATAACAGGCACTGGTAGCTCTTAGTGCACCACTAAGTTCTGTTTAGCTCCATACATGCGTAGATGCCTAATTTTAATCATTTTACCACTCCACACTATAATATTTTGCAGTTTGCCAGATCATTTTCATACATACATAGATAGGCCCTTCATTTGAGGGAACTGCAGTGGTTTTGGAGAGGCATGTCCCATTAAAAAGGGCACGAATATGTGTGTGGTTAACGACTTGGTGCAAGAAAGAGTATAGCCATACATCGCTAACCAATTAATAAAAAAAGGGTGATAAGGAAAAAGTCAGGCGGTCACAGAGAAAAAAATGGCTGTCTTTACGGTTATTATGTACGGAACGAAAGGACGGATTTGAATGTTTTTTTTTATCGTATACGTCTACAGGCCTATTGCCAGAGCTAAATAACGTTTTAGAACCTGAATTCGGAATGAAAAGCGAAACCACCTATTTGTGCGAACGATATCGCTGACAATCACTTCGGTTGTAAATATGAAAGGATCATATTATTCACTAGCGGGGTCGCTAGTGATTCCTTAACTCGTCGAGTACCGTCATTATAGACACAATTATAGAACAATAGGTTGCGGTCACCGGTGACCGCTTGGTGTTTGACAGTTTAAAGACTCTATCTATTGAAAAGAAAACAAAATCCGTTGCGTAGTTTTCAAGTTCTAAGCATACATAGGGTCAGACAGACGGCGGATAGCGATATTGTCTTATACTATGTAGTCATAAAACAACCACATTTAATATTTTAAAGTATTATTCACACAATCTCAAGTAGGATGGAATAATGAAGAAAGAAAAAAATCAGTCACTATACATAATACTTTTTATATTTCAGTGATGGTCCCATCCCTATTGTCATCTTACAAATTTACAATAAGACAGAATAACAAATCCGGGAAAATCTACACAAATGTAAAGTATATACATACACACAAAAAGAAGGGTCATGGGAAAGTTGAGAAAAATGAAACAAACCTATATTTCAATTTGTGCTTTATTTATGAAAAAAATTGTAAATTATCCTACAATGAATCTCCGAATGAATTAGACTTACATATCGTTTTATGTATCAAATACATTATTTTGCTCGACGCCAGATCAAACCACATAAGAACAATATAGTTTAAAATATTATCTACAGAATCCGTCCTCGGCGATTCGATTACCAAAAATACAATCTTCGTTCGGTCCCCGGCGGCGGCGGCGGCGGCGGCGACGGCCTCGCGGGGTATGTACAGCGCGAATATACAGCGGGCGCGCTCAGCCGAGCAGCGCCTCCATGGTGTAGGGGTGCGGGGGCGGCGGGGGCCGGGCCCACGACCTGTAGGGGTGCGGGGGCGGCGGGGGCCGGGGGCGCGGCGCCGGCTGTCAGTCCAGGATCACCAGCTGCAGCGGCGCCGCGCCGCCCAGAGCCTTGCCGCCCGCCGCGCCCCCAGCGCCCCCGCCCGCTACTGCGCCCCCGCGCAGCGCCCGCCAGGGGGCGCGCGCGCCACGTCGCAGCTCACCGCACGACAGGCTGCGTCGCGCCATTCTGATCAAAACAATTATTTAGTCATATACCATTGACTATAAACGTGTCTACACAGTATTTATCTTGCTTATATTAGTTTCTATTTGAAAACTGTCACAGTCAATTTCAGCAGAGATTAGCAACAGAAATGACAGTAGATCAAACCTAAGTATTAGATAACTCATTAAGCAAACCGGTCTTAAGTCTTAACGAAGAAGGTGAAAACCATCGATTGGAATACCGGGCATGCCGCGAAAGTAAATGGTTTTTGAAGATTTAAAATATTGTGGATCCAAGTGAACTTAAATGATAATTATAAGACGGTTATACTCACTTGGCGGTCTCATTCGCTCGGAAGTAGAGGTCGTCTGGCGCGTCCATCCAGGAGATGACGTGTCTGCGGCCGCCTCTACCACTAATGTTGGTAGGCTTGCCGTTCACCTAAAAAGACAGGCGCGGTCAGAGAGGTTGGTACAGTACAGGCCAGGACAGAAATGAAGGTAAAGGGTATGGATTTTAGACCAAGCAGACGGATCATCTGGTGGTTAAGAATCGGCGCCGCCCATAGACATCTCTGAGGAGTTGCAAGAGCATTGCTAGCCTTTTGGGGCTCTCGGGTCGGCGGTACATACGTGTGTAAAGACGTGCGCGGGCAGCGGCTGGCCGGTGGCCTGCGCGCGCGCGCACATGGCGGCGTACTGCTCGCGCGAGGGCCGCTGCATGGGCGCGGGGTGCTTGTTGGGGCGCTTGGCCGGCGGCGGCGCCGCGCACTCCCCGCCCTCGCGCGCTCCTCCTGTACACACGGTACGTCAGTACTACGCCGATCGAACTTCGCTATACTACTGAATTCTCAAAATAATTGTCAACATTACATGCATGAACTAATTTAATCGAGATGATAGCAAATGTATTTATGGAAATGTCTGATGCATACCTGTCGCTATTTCCGTGAAAGCGTGAAAAAATACGATATAGTTAATTTTGAATACGAAATATATTTTTATTTTACTACAATATACAATGCCAAATTCACTAATATTATTTTGAAATGCATCGATACTGACTGTCGAGGCCATTTATGTCATCGTAGGCGCGTCGTTTTAGAGGTTGCGCCGGCGCAGCTTCCGCGCGGCGGGCTTCTATTTCGGCGCGTGACAATACACGTTCATACATCAGGCTGCCATCTAGAAACAAAATAAAATAATTGTTATTTATAATGTCATCTAATTCAACAAATAGTTTGTTAATTTAAGAATGACAACGAATGTTTGAGAAACCAGCACATTAAAACTATGGCAACGCTCAATGAAAGTTACGATCAATGTTATCAGCTGTGATCGCGTTTGTTTCGCGAATCGCTTTTTACTAAAATGTACTATAGTCAGAATTTTAATTAGATTCCAGATTTGACAATACCTACTGTCATTTTGTGAAATAATGATACCACATATAACAGTGTAGTGATGAACACAAAAATCGATAAACAATCAGTGTGTGTGTTTTATAATAAATGTTACAGAAAGTGACAGGTTAGCGATAGCGATGACGGCGACAATTTATAAAATAACTTATCACTATAATACATCTATCTGTTTTATTTGTCATGTTCCTTCATGATTAAATTTTTTTAGTTATTTCTCACACAATTATAAAAGAAAAGGATCAGATCGTTAAGTAATCGTCAAAACTAAATTATCGGTCAGAAATATTTAATTTCCTGATATCCTTAGTTTACGAGAGTAAAATTATAAACGAGAAGAATCGATCCAGAAATATTGCATTTCCATATCGAATAATTTCGCAACGTCACTATTTAGTACTTGTCATAACGCTGCAACACTGAAATTGTCAAATCTGGAATCGAATTAAAATTCCGAGTATAGT